ATTATATTTGTAATTCTAAGAGAACAAAACCAAACTAAACTGTGATTATATGTTATATAAGATGTTCTATAAATATCTTTGCAGGATAAATGCTGTGTGCTTTTTATATTTGACACACCTTCTCATTGTAGTGTCGGGACAACTTCCAAATTTAACTGATGTCCATTGGTGAATGTTATATATCAAATTATTTTAATAACTATGAGATTTTGAATTATAGATTTCCAAAGACAAAGTAATGTAGGTCTGAACATTTTCCCTCAAATTAACTTTAATTTTAAATGTAAAGTCACCAGAACTACTGTACTGATGGTGTAGAATGTAATGCTGGCGTTGCTCCTGGATGGACACTACACCATAAGGAAGTCATTATAGTTAATCTTTCAGGAAAAGTGAATTGTTTTGCTGAGAAACTTTGTGGCATTTGTCCTTCTCATTTCAAAGTAAATGGCATTTAATGAACTTTTTATTGCTTGGTTTGTTTTTGCGTTTTTTTCTGATGTTCAGAAATACAGAATGTAATTTGATGCTAAATCAGTGTGATAAGGGATGGTTCATTTGGGTATTTGATGACCTATTTAATATTGCTTTGTTAAGTGTGAAATATAAGAATCTATGGTTCTAGGTGAAGAGTATTTACATGGCTTTATGGCGTGGGGTTCTTGCAGGCTAACTGAGATGTCTCTTAGTTCATTTAGACCTATAATCAAATCTGTTTACATTTTTCTACACTTCATGCCTCCATGCCGCCCAGTGTGTTTGTTGCTGGTAATATATTATCACATGGTCTCATAGATTCATTTTTATCTTTTACAGATATAGCTTCTGAGTAATGTTGCAATGAATCTTCAGTTAATTCCAAATTAGACACAAGACACTGTTAAAGGCACTTTGAATATACCTCTTAATTTTTTTATTGAGCAATAATGAAACACATATGAAACATTCACATTTAACAGTGCCATTATCATACTGCTATGATAATTGTGAATTAGTAAAAATAGCTTATTCTGCTTCGCATCTTTCCAAACATCAAAAACACACACACACACCATATACAGGAAATTCTTATTTAAAATCAGCATCCATTGAACTCTAGAGGCAGCTTCATTTATTGCACACTGACAGGTCAAGAGTCACTTTAGATGAAGCACTTGACTGGGGTCATTCATTTATTGACTTCTTGATCTTCTGACAAAATATTGTGCTGCCTAAAAAGAATTGCACTGAATTTTTCATTTATATCATTTTACGAATACATAACTTGGAAGTCTGAATACATTTACCCAATCATATTGATGTTTGAACAAAGGCAGTTCTTAATGTTTTGGATGTATCCCAGTATTTCTGGTAACAGAAAGACCACAGAGTATATGGAAGACATAAGAGGGGAAACAATCAAGTGTTTTGTCTATTATTTTTTGCCATTGATAATTAATTGTGTATGTGTACTTTGAAGTACCTTTTAAATTGTTATTAAAATGATGCTTGGTTAAATGGCTCTGTTCTGTTTTATTCATTGTTTGTGCTTTAATTCTATTACAAAGTTTACCATATTCTAATATACAAGGATCATGTTTCACAGTTGTGGTCACATCTTGAACTGTTGCACTGAGGCAGTGAATAGAGAAGTCAGTTTAGTGCACGCGGTGAATGAAGGCACAGCCCGTTGTACTGTGTCCTACATGTCAATGACTCCAGTCAATAGAAGCTGTGAGTCCATGCTCTGCCTGTCTGTGATATCTGCTCTGCTCTGTCTCCTGCTGATCTCGTCAGCCAGCCCACAGTCACACACAGACACACAGACACACACACTGTTTTCATTCACTGTGTGAGTGTGATGAGGGATACAGGTCAAGACTATGAAACGACTCTGCCATCTCTCATTCTCCTGCCCCTTATCTGCACACTCTCCTCATTTCACCCTTTAATATTGTGTGTCAGTCCGAGACACCCTGTCATTGTTCTGAGAGCAGCAATTGCTCTCTATCAAATAGGAAATTGTTGCAAATGGCTCAGTGTGAAAAGAAACATGCCCAGAATGCTAACATAAACAAATTGTTTTTTACTGGGTCAACTAAAATGATTTCATTTTTAATTTAATTTGATTCTTGTGAGATTCAATTATAATTTGAACGGCAAAATCACTTCTGTATTCATTTATATCCATATAATGGTACATTACCTGCATGATTCCAAAGAAATAAAACCATATTGTGGAATATTCTCCATAGAAATAAATCAACTTCGTGCCATACTGTGGAAGATTATAGCCATGGGAACACTATTTCCATGGAAACATGCCTTGTTTGTGAAGATGCATCTTTTTCGGTGCAATACGCACAACCAAATCGAAAACAAAAACATGCTTTTATTTTAGTCTGTTTGGCTGTAAAATAGATTTTTTTTTTTTAGTTAAGATGCTTCAGTGCTTTTCTTGCAGTCATGAAACAGAATAAAAGTGCACTGGTTTATAACACCCAATAGCAGCTGTGAGCACTCAACTCTAGAAAGAACAATCGTTTTAGGCTCTTAGCAGTTGCCTGTACAGTCCATTAACTCTTTTCCCTTGTTTGTTGCTGCGTGAATGGCATGTTGTGGGTTCACTGCAGTCAGATGGGGCCTATATATAAGAGCGTGTGGGCAAAGGGTGTCATGGCAGCCTGTGGTTAACACCGGGTGAGATTGTATAGTGTGTGGAGATTTACTATATATACAAAGCTGTGTGGGCTTCAGCATATGTGTGTTTTCTCACATATGTGGGCGCACAAGTGTCCATGAAGCTACTCCAGAGGAGTGGAGTGGTCAGCACACTCAAGTAGCTCTTCAGGTATATTGACAAAATGTCCCTTTCTATGGTTAATCAAGGTGGTCAGCAGAACCTTCAACTTTTTGGGCAGTGGAGAGATGATCAAGTAAGAATTCACTGCTATGTTGGTGAAATATATTTAAGTTGAAGAGCCTCAATTTAAATAGCTTTGCAATTTACCAGCCACTCTGTTATGTAATTATCAAATTTCCATAGGCTTTTCTAGAGCTGAGGAGCAACGGTGCATTAAATATCTCTCTATGTGGTACAGGTTTCAGTCTGCTTCCAAGAATGTTCCACAGTATGGCATTAAACTTCATGTTTTGCAATTTTGAGCTTATCGTTTATCGTAAATCTCCTACCCAGGCTGTTGTGGTTTGAGCTCACCAATTAGTGCATTTAGCTTTATTTTAACACTTTACTACGACAATGGCTTTGCACAAAATGAGTTTACACTGCTCCATTATGGATTAGGAGAAGTTACAGGGTTGTAGATGTCTAATAATAATTTCTTTAGAGATTTTTTCCTTATTATAGTTTGATTATGCCGTGCAGTAAAAAGTACTATAGACAAGATTTATGTTACTAGTAATTTAAATAATATATTTTGGGGGAAAGAGCTCCTGAGTCATTGGTTGCGCTGGATTCTAAACAATGGGCATCGGCCAAGAAAAATCTCATATCTCTGCTCAAAAATACCCTTCTTACTGTGAGTGGTGTTGCCTCTCCACAGACCTACCCTGTAACTTAAGATGGTAGCATAATTTTAATGCCATACTGTGAAATATTCCATGCAAAGCTGTCGTTGGTAATTTATGGTTGAGCTGAGCCATGTGAATAAAAGGGAGCTGACTATAGAACAAAATTGTGGCTGCCAATATCGCAGAACTCCGAGTCACTTGAGTTTTAATTTCCTGTCAGTGGAAGCGAGAACAATATCAAGATTGAAACATGACTTGGTATGAGTCACTCTTGCAGTGCGCTTGCTGGGTTCAGGCTGTTAGCATTCATAACCTCATCTCTGTGTCTGCGCCTGTGCTCTGTGCTCCTGCTCGCCTTCACACAGACAGTCAGACGCACACGTATGACAGACACCCGCTCCCTCACACACTTTCACTTACACACGGACTAATAGCACTAATGAGGCTGCATGACTAATTCCTCTTCAGCCCTTTCTACAGATGAGTGCTTATTATGGTCTGTCAAGGAGATGAGTCAGTCTATGTCATGGTTACTATGGTGATCAAAGCCCTCAGTACTTCCTTTAAGTGCCCGCTGGCTGAAATAAGACTCTTTTAACCCCTTTAACCACACACCAATCAGGCACAACTGGACTGGGAAAAAAATATCAGCCCTGGATTTAAAAAATTTATTTATTTTTGGACAATTTTTCACAGCTTTCACTTGGGTCCTGTATGGCCTACAGGAACAAATATGATGTTGTGTCTAAAATAACAGTTGATCTGAACAAAATTACTTCTCGAAATGTCTAGGCGTGTGCGTCACGATAACTGAGCCATAAAAATATAGTCCAAAGCATAACAGGAAATATGACTGATATTGTTTCACAAGGCCTGTTCTTCATAGACTATATGAATTAAATATAGATTTCATAAAAAAAAAAATAAAATATTGTATAGTAATCAGTAGGTATTATTTCTTATGCGTGGTCAAAGTCCCACTATTCTGACTGAACTGCAATAGTCAGCAATGAACACAAGAGAATCACAAAACATTACAACATTTATAAACTTTTATTATGACATGTGAATGTCACCTGGGCCAACAGTGATGCTACACTGAGATAGTGTGATGTTTCACAAACACTGTCCAAATAATGTATTAATGAGTAATTTTACCGACTGCCACCCATAGCACTGCTTACGGAGCTTTTTAGCCTACTGCACTACTGACAAGAAAGCCTGATGGGAAGATGCAGAAGAGCTGCACAATCCACAAAAAATAAAACTATCTTCAAATAACGTTTTGGCAACTAACCAATAGAAACAGCAACGATACTTTAGCTATTTATAGTAGTGAGTACAGACATGAGTAACGCTCAAGTGTTGGGGCTCCTTTGCGCATGTGCATTGTATGAAAAGTCACATGACACGCGAGCATATCACATGAGAAACTCGAACAAAGAACACGAGGAGACAAGAGGTGAACTTCTTGCGTTTCAATGTTGCCAGACAGAATGTGCTACACATAGACCCACCTACGGGCATTTCCTGTGATAAATTGTCTTTATGTGTTCGGTGAAAATGCCCAGTTTAGGCTATTAAATCTATATTTTAAATGTGTGTTAATTAGAAGATTGACATAACTCTTTGTGTGACGCTGGAACAACACTCATCTTGACTTGTAGTGCTCTTTGAAAAAGTTGCGCTTGCATAAATCAGTCGGAACAACAGGGAAGTTCAAATTCCCCTGCGCTGTTTGTTTGGCGACAGTAGGTCACCTGTACGCACAGGCAGCAGAGTGTTTCTAAGAGCGGCTCGTCTCCTTCTCATCACCATGAGGCTCAGCGGTGTGCTGTTCTGTGTTCTCCTGATCTGGGTTGAGTCGTCCTGGGCTGACACACCGGCGAACTGCTCTTATGAAGACCTGCTGGGCACATGGGTCTTTCAAGTGTCCAAAGGAGGTCACGATAAGAGCATCAACTGTTCAGCAGAAGGTAAACCTGTTTTTGTGTTAGCCTGCTTATAATTATAAAGTCATGTGACGGAGTGATCGGGCCTTGAATATCACAAGTTGGGGCAGGTGGCTCTTTCATTTCCTGATTCTCGTCCTAACCATGAATTGGCGGTGCAAACAGTAAAATCCATTGTTAAATTTAAAAGCAATTCCAAATGTCAGTGTTGTATTTTACTTTAAAGCTGTTGGAGCAAGCTCAGTAACCGTGACCCTGGAAAAACAGGATGTAGCCATTGATGAATTGGGCAACACTGGCTTCTTCACGCTCATCTACAACCAAGGTTATGAGGTGGTGCTTGGTGGATACAAATGGTTTGGTTTTTTCAAGGTAAGTCTCATCCTTTTGCTGTACTTAATTTATACATGCTTGCAGAGGCCTGAATTGGTATTTAAGGTCATATTTCTTCAGTATTAAAACACAGAATCAAAAGGGCCATAACAAATTTATTTTTAAGACACTATTACTTAAAAATATAGGCCCACATAGTGTTGTGTGAGAAGACAATCACATGATACTTGGCCGAGGGAAGTGCCACATTTGGCTTTCTTGTCCTGATTTTTCTAGGTCTAAACTTCCTCTTTATATCTTTTTTTTTTTTTTTTTTGTTAACCATTTTATAATTCCTGTTCTGTAAAAAAAAAATAAAGATACGTTGTAATGATTTTATTGACTGGACACTTCATAATTTTATGGTGCTTTTTTGATTTATGCACATGTTTTTTTTATTTTAAATGCCCTCCATTGCAGTACTCTCAGGATGGTCCACAGGTGATCAGTTACTGTGATCAGACCCTGCCAGGATGGGTTCATGATGTCTTAGGAAACAACTGGGCCTGTTTTGTGGGGAAAAAAGTGAAAGGAGTGCCACCCCGAAGGGACGCCCAGCCGATCTTCAGCAGAAAGTAGGTCTACAGCAATATTCACAAAAGCTGCGGCAAGTCACATATGAATATTTCTTTAGTGTCTTGTGTTAGAAAATATCTACTATCTATCTTGAAGGTCTTCTACTTAAGGCAAAAATCAATGTTATTATTGATCTAATCAAATGCTGCTCAATCTTAGGTATCTCCAGAGCTCATACAAACACAATCTGGACTTCATTGATGCAATCAACTCCGTTCAAAGCCTTTGGAAAGCTCAGCCTTATCTTGAACATGAAACCTACAGTCTGTTGGAGCTGCAGTACAGAGCTGGAGGTCCTGCATCTCGGATCCCTGTGTGAGTTCTCCCTCATGTTCTTGTTCATTACCTTAGGATGCCTTTGGAGACCCCATTACTCCACTCTAGTGTTACATAAATAAACCTCTTTATAAATGTCTCCTGTACACTTGCATAGAAGGTGAAACTGTACCATAAATCATGTGCTCAGCTGACAACATCATGCCCAGACTTGAAGCATGTTTTTTTTTTTTGGGGTAACATCTTTTATGATGGTTGAAATATACCTGCACAGACGCGCTCGCCCAGCCCCTGTGACAAGTGATGTAGCCAAGATGGCAGCTGCTCTCCCTGCCCACTGGGACTGGAGGAACGTCAATGGTGTTAACTTTGTCAGCGCTGTACGAAACCAAGGTAAATCATAAACATGTCTGAATATACAAATCAGGCAAGCATGGCAAATATGACATTTTTATATATGCGGACAATTGAGTAGGTTTCACTGTAGCAGCTGTCAGTGCTGAAGAGCATTTATCCAGTACAATGGCTTCCCTTTTGGCGAGCTTTAGCCTGGATTGTGCCTTCCCTTGTGTTTCTGCACAGCCTAGTGTGTGAGAGCACAGATTATGTCTGCTGAGTGTCTAGGAGGGCCTCGGCAGTACTGGGTATAAAGATCTGGAGAGGCCTGGAGTGTTTCAGTAGAAGCCCCCTAAGCCTGCGTTAGGCCCTCTGCCACGGTCTCAAGTCAAATAGATTTTAGTACCACAAAAATCTAAAATGTTTTTATCAGCTGTGCTAGAGAAAATGTACCATAGACATTTGTAAGTATTGCTTTGTGGTTGTTAAGTGAAGCACAAATAAAAGCCACCATAACCTTGGCATGAATTATCTCTACAATTACTCTGCTCAGTAAATCCCTAAAGTCTTTTCTGTGACCTAATTTGCTTTTTACAATGCTGCATAAAGCTTTTTTCAGACTATGATGCTCTATCAGAAACTGCTAACCTTATCTCAGTTTATTTTAGCAAGTACAATGGATGTGTACCTGACTTTTGTGTGAACCTTTTATGTTCTCTTTTTCAGCCTCCTGTGGTAGCTGCTATTCCTTTGCTTCAATGGGAATGCTGGAGGCACGAATCCGCATTTTGACCAACAACAGCCAGACACCCATCCTCAGCCCTCAACAGATCGTATCGTGTTCAGAATACTCCCAAGGTACATTAATGAAAGAGTAACAAAATTATGAACGGAAAAAAGATAATTATTTTTAATTTACCTTCTCATTTAAAGGTTGTGATGGTGGATTCCCGTATCTGATTGGGAAGTATGTGCAGGACTTTGGTGTGGTGGAGGAATCCTGCTTTCCGTATGTTGGCAAAGACACCCCTTGTGGTCTTTCTCAAAAATGCGGGCGCACTTATGCTGCAGAATACAACTATGTTGGTGGATTTTACGGTGCCTGCAGTGAAGCAGCCATGATGTTGGAGCTCGTTAAGAATGGACCCATGGCAGTGGCGTTTGAGGTAAATTATGGGTGTTTAAATTCTGATGTTGTTTCACGCCATCAAAAGGTTTCTGTTAGAACCATGTCAGGTCTGATTAATTGCTTTTACTTGCATACTCTGGTCCTCATGTCTTTATATTCTATCAATGACTTGAATTGTTTTCCTAAAGGTGTATCCTGACTTCATGCATTACAAAGAGGGCATCTACCATCACACTGGTCTCATTGATACTGTCAATCCTTTTGAACTGACCAACCACGCCGTGCTGCTGGTGGGTTATGGCCACTGTCACATGACTGGACAAAAGTACTGGATAGTTAAGAATAGCTGGGGCACCGCCTGGGGAGAAGAGGGCTACTTCCGCATCCGCAGGGGGAGCGACGAATGTTCCATTGAGAGCATCGCTGTTGCAGCCAGTCCCATCCCCAAGCTGTAGTTAGAAAAGGGAAAACCTTTATGGGAGCCAATTTTTAAATTGGAAAACTATGTTTTTATTGTTTTGATTCTTGAGGTTCTAATTTTACTGATGAAAAGGGACATCCAAAAGGAAGCAAAGTATAAGATAATTGATAGAAATATTCTTAGCCTTTTCAAAAAGGGTTGGATACATGCTGAAACTCTTCATCTTTGTGCAATTGATGTGTTCTGCATTCTCAGGGAAGCATAAATGAGATTTTAATTATGTGCCCTTAATTGTATCATATGGTTTTTATTAGAGCCCGACCGATAGGGATTTTGCGGTGGCCGATATGAAACCGGTATAATGGAAGTTGGAGCTGCCGATAGCCGATATAATCGCCGATATATTTAGTGATGTAAAAATTCACTGTAAATGTTTAATTGTTTAAAAAACTTAGGTTTGACTCTGGTGGATTTTAAATTGGGTTTATTTAGGCTACATTTATTGTTATTCTGCCTCTTTACATCATATTTACAGACAGTAGGTTGGCTTAATGGCATTTTTGCATCACATTCTAGACACTAGTGATTGGTATTCCAGTTCTTTTCAGAGAACCGGCTCTTTTGGCTCGGCTCACTAAAAGCTGCTGGTTCTTTTGGCTCCCAAGTGGCTCTTCAGATTGTTTTGTTGCAAGCAGGTCTAAAGCACGTCTAAAGCAGGACTGAATCAGGACTGAACCAGGTCTAAACCAGGACTGAAAAAGGACTAAACCGGGACTTATTTATTTTATGCTAAACTACAGTCAAATATGCTCGTTTTTTTTTTAATCCTACGTACACGCAAATTTCTCAAAGTTTCGTTTTGAGCCGCTGCCGCTGTCAAACTACGAATCTGCACGCGGCGTGAAGAGAAAAAAGTGAGAGAAAGAGAAAACACGGCTCCCAATAAGGATCAGGCTCCCGTCGTTCCCTTCAAAGAGCCGGTTCTAAGAGTCATTTCGTTCGCGACGGACCCATAACTAGTAAAGAAAGTAGCGCTATTAGCCTTTAGCCGTAAATACGTGCGCGCCGCGGTAATTAATTATATGCGCAAATGTTATAATTCACACGTCTATTCACAGCTCATTTACATATCAGTGCAGGTCCAGTAGCAAATATACAGCCAATATAGTCACTTTAGAACAGACCAATAGAAAACAGTCTGTTTATGTGCGGGAGCTACAGCAGCTAACCCATAACAAATGACAAAAACTAGCTTCAGAGTCGACATATTTCCAACACTCACCGCTCATACAGGCTCCTCCTCACATCACAAATCTGCACTAATAAATGTCCTTTTAATCCAGACTCAAACCGATTGTCCGTAAAAAGAATATAATCTCAGTGTTTGGATCTGTGTCTGCAGGTGTAAACAAACACACGTGAGTGACGCGACTCTGTGGTGTGTTCAGGGACAGTACGGACACAGAGACAAATGACTCCGTAAATAAATACTGATGTGGAGCCACATATTAGGACATTTATCTGTCTGTAAATTGGATTAAATGAACAGAATGTAGAGAGTCTAAGCTTTATAACGAGGTATAACATGCCCACGTGAAATATCGGCCCCTATCAGCAAGCATATCGGCCGATATGCCCAAAGTTGCCCATATCAGACGATAATATCGGCCAACCGATATATCGGTCGGGCTCTAGTTTTTATCCAATTTGAACCTAGGATGCCTTTTTTTATTTTAATTTTAAAAGGGAATATTTGATTACAACATCATGTAAATCATTTGTGATTCATTAAAATGCTGACTTCACAGTACTGTTTCAGAAAATGTAAATGTTTGCACTGTTGGACAAAAGGAAATAAAACGTAACTAAAGCTATAAAAAACAAAAGTCTGATTTGTTGGTGTATTTTATAATTTGATTATAAAGTTTATCTCATGAAATGTATAACCATTCTTAATACTATTCAGTCTATTTAATACTACCATTTCTAGCACTTTTCACATGTCTTGCGAGGGCACTGCTACTCCCTTACAGCGTCCTAAGTGAGTCACAAGGTCCAGACGTCTTGCTCCACATCCCCATGTGGGCCGGGCTGTACCTTACCACCCTGTGCTCTTCGCCATCCTTCTCTTTGGCTCTGTGCTGTGTTTTCCGCGCTGCGCTCTCTGGCCCCTTCAAACACCTCATCCTTGACGCTAAAGGTGGATTCATGCTTAGATCTCGCTCTCTCGGGTCGCGATGCAGAACAACCATAAGGAACATCTTTATAAGATCCTTGTAATCGGGGACCTTGGGGTCGGCAAGACCAGCATCATAAAACGGTATGTACATCATAACTTCAGCCCCAACTATCGCGCCACAATTGGAGTGGACTTCGCCCTCAAAGTGCTCAACTGGGACCAAGAGACCGTGCGCCTTCAGCTGTGGGACATCGCAGGTAACTTTTACGTACATCGTGTCATAAATTTTTGTCAGTATTAACTTCTAAGAAACAAGTATAACTTTCTCTAGGAAATGGTTATAGACAGTTTTCTGGTTTTTATGTGCGGTGTTTTAATTATTCAGTAGGCTGTAGGCTAGGCTATGTTTTTGCATCAATCTCAGTCAAGTTGATTGCTGCTTTGTCCCTTAGATTTGTATTAGCCTGTCAACACCTACTTTGAAAACCATTCAGGTAGAGTTGGGCCCACAGGTGTACATTACTTTCATCCACAAATGAAACACTTGTCTCTAAAGTTATACTTTGCTGTTATAACAATTCAGTTAATTGTAATAAAAGACCATTACTCATACTGCATATGTATAGTGAGTAACACATGATTGTATAGTGAAAAGACACATGACCGGTTGGTCACAGTTGACATTTCCTCACCAAAGGGATGGTAAAAAGGGTTATTCAGGGTCATGATTGCTCATGTCCACCAGCTGACATGTTGGCATTACTCACTTCAAATAATTTTGCGTGGAATTGCTGATATTATAGAAAAGAAATAAGAACATGAGTTGTAAATATTATTAAACATATTGTGTACATGTTTCTGTAAATTAAATGGCTGTATACACTATCACAACAAATTTAAAACCACCATGCTATCCATCCAGATTATTTTTACTTAAACTGGTCTGAACCATGTTCAAAAGTTGTGTTCGTGATGCATAATTATGTGTCCTTGTTGACCTTTTAAAATACAATACAAAAATACATTCTGTATCAAAGAAAAGATTATTTCCACTATCTAACGTAAGAAAAATGCCGATATAGAACATCCCTGGTGGTGAGGAATTTGTAGAAAAAAAAACAACAAAAAAACAAAACAAAACACATACCTAACGCAGTTTGATGTCACAGTGATGCAAACAAATGGTGCAATGGCCCCAGGAATTAGTTATAATGCAGGCTTTGAGTGTGATGCTGCAGGGTCAGATAAGAGGCTCACATGAGAGTCGGCTGAGGGCCAGAAGAATGCTTGGACCTGCTCTCCTCCTGCGCTTTCTCCTGTAGCACATACAGTCATGTGTCTGCAGCTCATGTGAGGCAGATTTGAGGCCTGAGCCTGTGTTAAGATGCCTTCATGTGCATAAAAGTGATGTGGGTAGTGAACACTTTTCATATGTTTCTTCTATTTGCCAAATCGTACAGTACATCTCAGTTTTACATTTAAGCATTTCAGCATTTTGGGGATATTTTTGCTTCATTGAGTTTTCTCATGGCACCAACGTAATAAATCACTCGATACTTCTTGGCTTTTCCCAAAACAAGCTGCGACTTTCCCTTCTATTTTTAGCAGTAATTTTTCTACAGCTCACAGGGCTGTACACACCAAGGAGTATCAGACTACTAGGATCAACCTGAACCATGTACATTCCAAACACTGTATTCATAGTCCCCCATTTGTAACACCAACTCAGTTAGTCCTGAAGTAAATCGAATCTATGATAGAAAATGGCCAGCATGTATTCTACATATTGCTTATATCATTTACAATTTACTTACAAGATCATTACTGTGCCTCTCCCAGACATGGATTTGCACACAGAGTGGTTCAAATCAGTTATTGTAATGCTTTCCCTTTCCTCCCAATGCAACTCTGCAACTGACTGTATCGAAATTCAAAACATGCATGTAATATTTAGGTTTTGAGTACAGTACAAAAGCTATATCCAAAACAAGCTTTAATGAATATAGATCTTTTAGATGATTCAATCTTGATCACTTTTTGACCAGAAACAAATGATAGATTTTTATGTTTTTATAATATAGTGTCAATATTAAACATGTCGGTTAATTAAATACCAATATGATGTGTATTACAGGTCAGGAACGATTTGGCAACATGACCCGTGTGTATTATCGCGAGGCCATGGGAGCATTCATTGTGTTTGACGTCACCAGACCTGCTTCCTTCGACGCTGTCACCAAATGGAAGGAAGACTTAGATTCCAAACTGACACTTGCCAATGGGAAACATGTAGCAACTGTGCTTTTGGCCAACAAATGTGACCAGGGCCGTGACGTCTTGACCAACAATGGGATAAAGATGGAGCAGTTTTGTCAGGAAAACGGATTCGTGGGGTGGTTCGAGACCTCCGCCAAGGTGAGGAAAGGTCATTCTTGTTGGGCTGTGTTGTGCTGTGAATACAAAACAAGTACAGGCTGAAACCACCAGACATCTCATCCCATTTAAATGTCCTTGGGCCGTGACTCCCTGCCAGCTCCACTGTGTCACACGCAGCACCTGATCATCCCTGTGGAAATGCCAACGCAGACACACTACTGATAATGAGCAGGAATGGTGAAGAGGACACCCTTGTACAGGAACTCGGCACTGGCATTTTAAAATCAATAGTCAAAAAAACCACTGACATGTTTATAGGACATGAGAGGAATTGTAATTTTTTCTATATCCAAAGTTCCTGAGTTAAAAACTTTATTTTCCTAATGTACTATAGAGCAACATGGTGTCCAAAGCCAATTCAGTGTAAGCATTAGGTAAAATAAATGACTCCCAAGACAATGTAGATTGCTCCAAATGAGAAGCCATTTAAAAAAAAAATTGATAAGAGATACTGTGAGTCATGACCCCAAGTGGAAAAAAATTGCGATATGTATTATCTATATATGCTTCTGCTACTTTTGAGACTTCTTTAACAATTCCTTTATTTTTGTAGTATTACTCTACTGAACACCTACAATTTCTTACTGTAATTACTAGAGGTGTAACAATATCCAAGTCTCACGATACAATATTGTCACGGTATGAACCTCATGGTACGGTATTTATTGCGATATTGTGGGAAAGCTCACGATATGGTGGGAAGCTCACAATTAGGGATGTAACAATATCCAAATCTCTTGATACAATATTTTCATGATATACATCTCACGGTATGATATTTATTGCAATATTTTGCGAAGGCTAACAGAACTGTTAATATGCTACTTTTTCCTCTTAAAATGCCTTGACAAGACTTAATCCAAAGAACTAAGGCTTAAAAGTTCTTAGAATTGTTATTTCTACTTATAGTCTACAGTGAAATGGAGCAAAGGATCATGGCCTATGTAGTTCTGTCTTTTTTTTTGTCTTTTAAATTTTTTTTAAATTTTTAGCTATTTCTGCACCAATAACTTACTAATACTTACTAATATATAAGAGACTTATATATTGTGATGGACCACAATATTATTGTGAGAAATTTGACGATACGATATTACGATATTATTGTTCCACCCCTAGTAATCACTATTACTGCTATCTTGTTAATTTGACTTCTTACTGGAATAGTGACTCAAAAAATTTGAATGAGTGTGCATCTGACTATGTTATGTATGTGACTGCATGCTGTTACAAATGTGCCCCACCTAAGACCCAAAGTTGCCAAGACTAACACTTAACCCACAATCTACTGGAAAATTGTGCAAATATTACTAAAGCAATGAAAATAAATAGAGAGTAGGGCACATTTCAGAGTAACATCCCTATTGTATTGTCTTGACTCGGAACAGAATGAAAGAAGGTGGTGAGAAAGCCCAGACCACAAGATGAGCTGTGGATTCACCCACCTACACACTAGCACAGTGACACACCACCACATAGCCTATTATAGCTGCTAATGTGGAGCAGGAATCTCACAGCTATGGGCTAAGGCAAGAAAATATAGAGCAACAACCACAACTGATCATCGATGGGACCAATTAGTGGGAGCTAAATGCTAAAACCATTATTAGCTGTGACCACAAAGCTCTTTTGGTATTTGGTCTACTGTGCACAAAGGGAGATGTTGTGCGAGCGATACCAAGCTAGAATCAATCATTATGTATGCACGGTTGCAGTTTTCGCATAAATTGCTAGTGACCTTTAATGTAAATAGACTTGTAAGTGCAAATCAATGTTTCACGTTTTTAAATGTAATAAGTGCTACAAAAGCTATGTAGTTGCCTTTAAGGATATAAAGGGGAGTTCTTAATACAGCACGATCGGACTTGATGCACTCTTAATAAAGCCCAGAGCTGAATAGTCGAGAGGAATTATTCAAAGCTTTTATCTTCAACTACACGGGGCATGCTTTAGTGTGCACAGAGGAGTAAGAGGAAGGACATCACACTGATAAAACAAAGTGTATTTTATTTGGAAAAGTCAAATCTCGCTGCATAGATCTTAGGGAATGCATGATGGATGAGGGTATGTAGTGTTTTGGGCATGTGTTGGCATTCTCAAAGGGTTTAGAGGTTTTACAGACTCCACTGTGTCACATCCTACTGAACACGCTGTTAGATCTTTGCAGTGAATATGCAGGCAAGGCTCTGACTCTCTCACACTCCACATATTAACTAAGTGTTTGCATACAGCACATTTATAATCCCTGCTGGTTCGGTGTGCATATGAATTACTCCCCTAACTCCTCAGGCCATTTTATAGTTTGCTAAGCCATCACCAGTCATTCAATATTCTTCCTAAATTACACTTTTCCATTTACACTGACACAGAGGAAGTTATTATAATTCACTTAAGCAATAGCCAGAGTTGACCTGTGCCAATCTGAATATCCTATATTTAATTAAAGGGTCCATATTACACTTTTTCAGATTTATGTTATAATGCTGTTTCCTCATCTAAAACATACCTAGAGTTGTGTTTTTTTTCATTCACATGTTTAACACAATCCCTGCATATTTAAGGTGAATTCTTCTCTCAAGCAAAAAAACAAACAAAAACAAAACAAAACACTGAAAAAGAATAGAATAGTCAATCTCTACTCAACTAAATGTTTGAGGTCGTATAAGCTACATGACATCACAAGGTGGAACAGAACATTTTGAAGGTGTAGACAGAATTAGAATTGTAATAAAAATTCTTAAAATACAAACATTTTATGGTCATTGATGGACATGTAATGAAGATATTTGCAATTTGATTGATAAGCCAATTTAACACGATGGAAATAGGTTTTACCATTAAACTAAAGAAGACTCACCTCCCTGGATGTAGCCAGTTTGGGATTGCACAGACTTTTTGGTGAGACAGCCAGATTCCAATTACTCCACCAATGTGCACTTTGAGATATGGCCCCTATAGAAAATAAATAAACGTGTTAAACCTTTTCAGTCACAATACAAAGGGATGGGTAACTGTTAAGAGTGAGTGTGCCAGATGTCTTTGTTTGACACGTTCTACCTCATTAATTCTCTTGTTCAAGGCTAATTTACAACTGTTTATTATGTTTATACCTTTGACCATTTCTAATTTCCCTTTGTATCCTGCAGGAAAACATAAACATTGATGAGGCGGCGAACTGCTTGGTGAAACACATCATTGCCAGTGAGAAAGACATGCTCCAATCAGAAGTCCCCGATACGGTCACACCTCAGCTGGAGAAGGACAGAGGAGGAACGTGCTCCGCCTGCTTCCGCTCCCAGTAAGCGCTCACCAAACGCGGATGTCCTTTTGTATCTCATTATGGTCAGCCAGCAAGACGCAGAGGCACAATGACTCTGGCAGCTTTTAATGAAGAGGAGAAGTGTGCCAATGCCCCAGCGTCAGGAATGACAGGAAACCAATGGACTCAGAAATTAGATGGACTGGAGAGACCAAATGTGTAGATATATATGGACAAGTACAGATGGGTGCTTGTCAAGACAAGGTCAACTCTGGGGCAGGGTTTGACAGCATTGTGGAGACAGCTCATAATGACATGCTATTCTTTTAGTGCATACATAGACCACATTTTGGTTAAAAGTAGCATATTGTCCCAAGTGTGTTTTGGTGTTTGGGTTTATCGCATTAAGAAGATTGAAAGATAACAAAATGGTTTGGGCCAACATATTCAGTTGAAGTAAAAAAGTATAGCCTGAACCACAAGTGGTTTATGTTATGACTGAAATAAAGTTCACACTGCGTAAAAACAAACAAACAAACAAACAAACAACAACAAAAAAACTTTTCGAAAGTTTGCACATTCATCTGTAAAAATTGCTGTGTTTAGTGAAAATTATCCATGTAGGCTACTTACCCAGTTGTACCCTTTAATTGACTGAAACCAATCAAACGCACAGAGGTATGTAGCATTTAGCTAATAGATATAGCTACAACCAGTTCCATAATTTTGGAAGAAATAAAGTATCTCTATTCAGTATTTATTGCAGCACAACGCATGAGCAAAAGTCGTTTTCCATTTCGTCCAGTATTTTTCAGTCATACTTTTTTTTTCTAAATGAATCGGCTGCATTTATGGTGTCATGTGGTTGCTCTGCCTGTGAATATCATAGTCCGAACGTTACATAACTTTATATAATAAATTCTATTATTTAATTGGGTGTTTTTACCAGAGACTGTTTAAAGAATATTATAATTATATGTCTATGGTTTTTACTCAATAGGCTATTGTATTTGAAATGCATAGGCTATTACGCTAACAGAATAAAAGTTTTATACATGGTAGTGGAATGGACCATTCTGTGCTCTGATTAGTAGCCTATAGTCTAGTTTGTGTGTGTAATAGTAGCCTGCAAATGTAAAACTACAAGTCAAGAGAAATAACCAAAGATGTACTTTCAGAGAATAACCCAGGTTTTTGATGACCTGAAATAACATTCATTGTATTTTGAATAAAAACAACCTTAAGTCTGTATGTTTTTCCTGTCCACTTTCTTGTAATTTCAGAAACAGTAGTTTTTCTGACTTGGAGAAAAGGCCTTGTGGTTGTCACATTCATAATAATTAACTACTTCCTGCGCTACGTGAGTTAACTTAATAGTGGTGTAATAATTGTTGCAAAAGCTGGTTTACTAGTAGGCTGACTTACAAATGAGACAATTTTGCGGCACTTCACTCATTTTGTCTAATTTATTTTCCTTAATTCACTATTTCCCCCAATTAACTTTAGACAGAAGCTACTTTCTGGCGTCAGAATTTTACTCCACAGGACGCTGACCTTGCGTCGCTCTTTGACGTTGTCAGCACCAGGTGAAGAAGACCGCATGATCTTCGTATGAGGCCATGTGCTCTTTCCTCCACCGATTCCAAAATCTGCAGCATCGTGGTCTAAATGGGTAAAGAAAAATAAAGTGATAATGATTTCTTTAGGCCTAATATGCTAGAGCTAGTGTGACTAACATTAGCATAGGTAGGCTCATGTCATCCGCATCACACCAGTCAGTGCAGACAGGTGACGTAGGCACCTAGCATTACTCAGTCAATTAATGAGCAAAGATAGCAGAGAAGCAAGATGTTTCATAGTTAGATTTACAGTTAGCTCTGGAGAAGGCTTAATGGTCCCCAATGGAATTATAAGGCTGACTTTGCCTACATTGGCCTACATCTGTTCTACACAGTATGCACAGGTAGGCTGAGTTTCTTCTTACTTAACATATGACCTAGTGAAAGGCTAACATTATCATCAGTTTTCACTAGCCAACTAGTAAAATCCACCAAGATTTTCATTTAGACTTCTAATGCACTAGCCACTTTACATTTTCTTCTATACTAGTAGTTCTAACTATTCCAATGCAAGCTATTTTTTTAGTTCAGCTAGATTTGATCACCGTCCAATAATGTTATGAATGCTAGCGTGACTTTACAGCTTATTGTGTATATTTCATTACAAATATCTAAACTATACAGCTATCATAACTCTGGCTAATTAAAACCCTAAAAGTCTGGTAGGTTAACTAGAGATCGACCAAGATTATTTACTGTCCAGCGAAAGAGATTTTTTGGACCAGTATGTAGGGCCAATGTAGATTTTCCCCCCAAATTACATTTGCTAAATTTATTATGAACAACTCTGTTTTACTGCAAGCTTCAGTCACAAGTCCAAAGTCACATTATGTTCAATACACTCTTTACTAAAGTGTTCAAATTAAAGCCTTGTGCATATTTCTAAGTAGCTGGTTGGCCAAAACAAAATCCTTTCCTATGCTGGATATTTAGGCCCGATAACACATATGCTAAAAATATATATAGACCAACCAAAATATCAGTCTGTCTAGTAACTAGCCACAAAGGCCAAGGAGCAAGTTAAGATAGGTATCCCCTTTGCTTTCCTAGAATCAAGAAATTATAAAATGCACAATTTTCAGTCTATAAAATTACCAATTCCTTTCTTTTTTTTCAAATGGGTCTTACACAACATGTTGCTTAATCTTTATGCTATATATCTATACATGTATAGATAGACATACACACATACATTTTAATGGTTAAGTTGAATCTTGTGATCAAACATTCCTGCGTTCTTGTCAGCATTAGCACTCCCTGCACTTTTTCCCAGTGCAGGATACCTTTGCTAATATGCTCAAAAATCCGATTTGGACTGTGAGAAGTTCAGATTATAGTAGTTGTTGTTTGTTGATCTTTACTTTTTTCCTTTTGCATGACCTGCTTTCGACCTGGCATGTGACTCCATCAGCCCCTCCAGCCTGCCAGAACCATAACCTTTTGAATCCTACCTTCATGCCACATTCCTGTTATGACTATTTGCTCCAATTAGAGGTAAGGTTTTGTCTAAAAACATTTCCAACACTGTCTTGTCCTTTTCTCCTAATTACCCCTTTACACAGACAACAGTTTTCACCTCTGCGGTTGCCTATTGCTCCACACCAGCTTGTCTATTCTCTCTCACATAATGGGTTAGCAGGGTACAATAGCGAGGGAGCCCGTGCCACTGTCCAAATTGTAATAATTAGTTCTGATTTGCTGCATTGATGCTACAATTTGTGTGTGAAAACAAGGGCAGAAGGGGAGAGATCGAACTGCTGAGTTTTGTTGAGAATTTTCATTTTTTTATTGTTGTTGTGAGACTGCATGTCAGAAGCTGCCCCCTTTTTTCTATACTCCCACACGTTGCCTGTACACGCATTACAGAGATGATCAGAAGATTTCAGCAGATTTATCCTGGTCTCTAAGGTAACGAGCTGCTCAGACTGTGATGCGTCGGTTTACATACAGACCATATCCTTTAGTTCTCCTTGATTCACAACACAAGGAAATGCTGGAAAAGAGAGGGAAGGAGAGAGGGAGAAAAAAAGGGGAGAGAGAGGCAGAGAGAGGCAGAAAGAGTAAGGAACCACAACAAGGGGGCATAATCACAAGACTTCTCAGTCATGGAGGATAAGGAGGAAGTAAGCTGCACGTGATTTCAGAGTGACTTCAAGTATCTACCATTTTCTCACACAGATAGATATTGTAATTATTCTGCAGGTGATTTATGGTAATACATGCACAGGCCTTTAACCTCTGTAAGGTTTCTCTCAAGTGTTTCAAAATGGCTAATGTATGCTTGGGTGCTGTATATAAATCTTTATTACACAGTGTAAATATATCTTCTTATTGCAAGCCAATAATACATCTGTTTACATTTACCAAGCTATGTTAAAACCAATGTAACTTTAGCCATTTTCATCTTTTTCTCTGTGGTTCATACATTATTGGAGTTAATGCATTTGACCTCATTCATTTATTATTTACACAAGGGGTAACCACTTGTTCGACTTGATTATTATTTACTCATTTATTTCCTTCTAAATAGATGTTCTGTGGGTGGTCCTATAATGGGTCGCAGAGGAATCATCTTTTTCAAAATTTGTTATGTGCCGTATCCATCACAATATTATGTTATGTACTACTTTCAGAACAAATAACATTGACTGTGTTTGGTCTGCCAGGCACAGTCAAGGGTAAATGTGGTATCGTGTTTTAATAGCTTGAGGTAGTTGAAGTATATATGTACTACCAATAGTGTATTACACTGTACAGATAAAACTCATTTAATTGCAGTTGCAATTTTTTATTTTGCATTGAGCTGAGTAGACCCTCATTCCTGAGAGTCTGATGGAGAGTTAGTAAAAGGTCTGGAAAGATCTCCTGTGGGTCTAGACAGTCTGTGCCTTGGACCTTCATGACCACGTCTCTGGGCTGAGTAGGTTTCTGCTCAGGGTGAGTTTGTCTCAGCTTGGTGTGCAGCTTCTGGGCTGGTTGCTGCTTGTACTGATTCACCATGTTCTTCTTGAAGCACCCGTGTTTCATGTGTTTTTTGTGAAGTTGATTGGCTCTCCTCTGCTCTTGGCGCTTATGGACGAAGCCCTTTTCAATCAAGGCCTCCATGAAGCTGTTATGCCTCTGGATGCCTTCAGAGATGTTCAGGTGGTGGTGTTTTTTAGATTATAGAATGTGATGTTGTCATGCTCTCAGATGGGGGCAAGACCCAGTTTTTCCTATTGATTTTATTGCACCGTATCATGAAATATCAGAAAGGTATACCAATACCAGATCAAGCAATTAATAGGAACAAAAACATGATTTCCTAAAATACATAAAGAAAGAAAGACGAAAATTTTGCTTATCATTCAAACATAAATTTCACACATCTGATGATGGATATACTATTGAAATAACCAAGGAAAAATGTGTTAAGGATATACAAACTCAAAAATACAGAAGGATACCATATAATGGACTTGGATTTGAACTGACTCCTTCTTGCTGTGAGGCAAGAATGCAAGCCACTATTTCCCAAGATGACAATTAAACCTCATTCAATGCAGTTTCAGTACAATACCTTGTAGAAGCAGCTGTACAAGTAAAAAGAGTAATAAAATTTCTGAACAGAGGACGTAAACCAGCTCAAGCAGAAATACACACCCTTAGCTCAGTTGAATAGTGCTACTATGGTCAATAAACATCGAGAGAGGTATTAGAAGTTGTGGCAGTGCCAGGCTTACTTCTGCCCAGAATTAAACACTAAGTAAAAGAATCAATATGTGGAGCCACAGGAGACAGGGGATGAATGAAAATAACGGCTGGGCCTCTTGCTTTTGATCGATGGACGTGCGTGTTGGTCTGCGTGCCCATTGACGTGAGTGCGTATTAATCTCCCCTTGTGTATGTGTGTATACAACTGACCCCTCCGCAGCAGGACTTTGAAATGGAATGGGAATTTCAAAGAGGCCGACTCAGTGACTCATCATTCACGACCAACTCAGACACAGGATAACTAGCCCACAGGACATGTAACACAGACACCGGCTGCTTTGGTTCCTGCTTGTCCCCCGATGCACTTGAGACAGTCCCAGTCGCAAGAGCATTTTCAATTATGCTGTTGTCTTTACAAGCTCATTAACACCAATGCAAGTGATATTCCTTGTAAAAAATGGTAATTCATGTACCAATTAGGAACAGTATTCGATTCATTTAGTCACGAAATCATTTAATCAACATTCGTGGAGCATCTTGGTAAAATGTAATACTGGTTAATATGAAGCTGTAGTCTTCGGATGTGATCCTATTAGTTTAACACATCAGGGCTCCCAATTTGCATCTAAATACGCACAATTAAAAACAAAGCAGTTGTTTAGTTGCACTATATTAATCTCTATACAGCGATTTGTGTTCTGCCAAGTGCAATAGGCCAGGATCAACTGTATTTCTGTTGTATTACATTCTGCCCACTGTGGTTGAGTGTAGTACACAGGAAAAAGCTGGATACCAAAGTAGTGGGCGGAAAAGGTCTTCAGAG